GATACCCAATCTCTATTGTCATTTAGGTAACCTATTTAGATTTAGTACAAGCATTATTATGTCGGACCGGAATCGACCATAGTTATACCACGGCCTCATAGAAAACCGGCGTGATACAACCACAGCGCTGTGATTCGCCGTTTCGTCTCTCCCTATAAAAAAGTCTCCAAATTCCTAATCCCCAAAAGGTTCATAGGCGGCGCTGATTGCTTCATCATCATCATCATCAGCCTATAAGTGCCCACTGCTGAGCAAAGGCCTCTTCTCACACGGAGAAGGTTTAAGCATTAATCACCACGCTTGCTCAATGCGGGTTGGAAGGGAAACATTGTGAGGAAACCTGGACTGATAATTTCCAATTATAAGTTTAAAATCGCTAATCCGCTTTGAGCAAGCATGGGTGATGCTCAAACCTTCTCCGTGTAAGAATATGCCTTTGCTTAGCAGTGAGCACTTATATAGTTTGATGATGTGATATCTGTGTTACATATTCTACCATACAAGTCATCGTAATCGATAATAGAATCGATACATTAGAACATCGATTTGCTAATTACAATCAGTTTTCACAGAACTAATGAGCTGCATACACGGCATGTAACTCTTATGTATCATAATGTTCTTATTTACATAGTTATGTGGACAAAAAGTCTAATCGCATCTAGTAGTTCCCTGAAAGGATTGGTGAAGTTAATGTTTTGTAATTTTTTAATAGTAACCGTGAAGCAAACCATATTTATTGAAATCCCGCTGTGCTGGTAAATGTTGATCCATCCACCCACTCAATCCACCATATTTTCTGGCCTTTAAACATTCCCCATTCCTATTTCTGGACTTCGCCAAATCAAACCAGTTGCTTCTAGCTTTAAGTAAATTAATACCTAGCGCTTTATTTTATCAAAGACCATCAACATCAGCAGCCCATCAGTACCCAGCGGTGAGCAAAGGCCGCTTCTCATATGGATTTGATCATTTATAACCACGCTTGGTCATTTGATTAGTGATTTTAAACTTATGATTAGAAATTACAGATCCAGGTGGTACAAATTTAGCATTTCTTAATATAAACTATTTAAAGTAAACACTATAGTCAATCATCAGTCAGAACTAGCGTTTTCTTTACTCGGGACTGGAACCCGCGAAAGCGAGCAGTGAGCCGCGGCGGGCGACCGACCGTGGGGGTAAATGAACTGTGTCACTACTATATACACAGCATGTCAAAATACACTAGCTTGTCAATTTTATTCAAAGGATTTCCTACTTTAAACTCATTGGTATACAGTTGAAAATCCTTTGAAGACATTAACAGTGGAGGGTAGTTTGATGTGCGTGCGCATGAGTGATGGCGATTTATTGATATTGGGTGTAACTTTGCCAGACTTCGTGGCAAGGTAAATAATGAGACTGTAGATGGTTAAGGTCTGTTTATTACTTTAATTGCTGGTGCTTATATACTAAGAAGATGCGTGAGATTTTCAGATTTAGCTATCCTAACAAACGTGCAACAATTAACATGTATGTCTTATCTCTATCGTATCTAAGTAATGTAGCGACGTGATAGTGCCGCTACATATACTCCCCCCTTTTAAAAATAATTAACATATAAATTGAAAAAAATTAGTATGTACCTAATTATATAATAACTTAACCTTGCTGATAAATTACATCCTATGCGTAATGTAATGTCATTGTTGCTAATTCGAAGGAAATAAAAACTGCTGCCTTTGTTGTGACGGCGGCGGCAGTCGATGAACTATCCACTGCATTTGTGCTGATACCGGTGGTCCTTTAGTGATAATATGATGCTTAATCTTGTGTTTTGGAGTAGTGTGGAGGGAGGCTGGTTTCGTAATATCCTCGTATTCATTTAATAGTTGAGTAATGCGTGGATTCGTCTCAATGTTAATAGTGCGGATTGTTTGCTGCGTCGATTTGATCAGGGTTGCGGGCGTTGTCAGCTCAGTTACCCTATCTATGAGTTTTTCGACCAGCTAAATCGACTAATAGCTTATAATGCTCTAAAAAATCTGCTCCAATAATCGGTTGTGTTACATCGGCGATGACAAAGTTCCATACAAAGTTTCTTCGTAGCCCGAAGTTTAAAGAGAGTGTTTTTTCACCATATGTCTTAATTTTTGTACCATTGGCGGCATAAAGTATACATTGTTCATCTTGTATTAGTGAATGTCTCTGTGGCTTGCTAATAACTGAAATATTTGCTCCCGTGTCAATCAAAAATCTCATACCACTTTTTCGGTCGGTAATAGTGAGGCGGTTGGACGGGTGAATAGCACAGAGTTCCGCCGTTGTCCGTGCTTCAATTAGTTTCCCTGTTTCCTTGAGTTGAGATCCTGTTTCCAATCACAAGGTTGAACACACTTTTGTGCATATTTTTTAAATCTTCCATGGTAAAAACAAAAGTGCCTTCTTTCTCTTGAACTCGACTGTGGTAGGAAATGCCGACGATTGGAATAACTTTGAGTGCTGCGTCGATAGTTTTTTTTTTGACCTTGCTGAATTGCATTTAGTTCCAATTGCATTTCTGCTAACTGTGCTAGTATGCATGACATTGTATCGTCGCCAGATTTGTTTCCGTTTACAGCTGACACCTCTGTACGTGTTGAATTTATTAATATCTTGTCCGCGATCTGGCTCATCTTGTTCACATCTATGTCTTCTGTGACTGCTAGAACCGAAGTCACTGATGGTGGCAGAAGCCTCAACCATAGAAGTTTGATGGTTTCGTCGCTGATATTTCCGTTACTCAGGGTCCGCATCTTGCGCAGAAGATGTGATGGTTTCTGGTCGCCGAGATCCATTTCAGACAATAATTTTTGGAGCTGACGTTGGTCTGATTCCTCATAGCAACTGATTAGGCGTTCTTTGATAGCCTTGTACTTTTCTATTGGCGGTGGGCAAGTAATGAGGTCACTAACCTGTATTATTTCTTCTTTTGGCAGTTTTGCAATGACCGTATAGTACTTGTAATCGTCTCCTTGCTTCTGTGGTGCTACTATGGCTTCTAGTTGCTTAAACCATAATCTGGGTTGGTCCCTCAAAATTCCGGAATACGGGATAAAATGGCGGTTCCGGCTGATATCTCCAAGGCTTCTTGTTGGCTGCTGCTTGATTTGCAGGGTGAATGAGTCATGTTGATTGTTCTTCGTCGGGTCACCAATTTGCCAGACTTCGTGGCAAGGTAAATAATGAGACTGTAGATGGTTAAGGTCTGTTTATTACTTTAATTGCTGGTGCTTATATACTAAGAAGATGCGTGAGATTTTCAGATTTAGCTATCCTAACAAACGTGCAACAATTAACATGTATGTCTTATCTCTATCGTATCTAAGTAATGTAGCGACGTGATAGTGCCGCTACATAACTATAGCATGTTGTACTGAAAAAAGGATGTTATAAATATATGAACCTGCTTTGTTATATTTGTTTATCGCAATGTTTGATGCAGTTTTATGTTTAATTGTTGTTGGTTGAACAAAAACTATTGGTATGGTTACTAAATCGTTTTTCAGGGGATTGGTTACAGTTTTATTGAATCAGAAAATAAAGTTGAGAACCACGAGAAAGTCCAGTGCAAGTCAAGGCTTAGCAAGGCAAAGAAAAATTAGCCTTTATTTTCATATATCACATCATCAGCAAGTGCCCACCGCTTAGCAAAGACCTCTTCTCACACGATAAGTTTTGAGCATTGATTACCACGCTTGCTGATGGCGGATTGGCGATATCAAACAAATAATTTGAAATTATAAAGTCCAGTCTTCCTCGCACCGTATGTCAGTAATGTCTAAAAGCACATTAAACCCGGAAAAAGTCACATTGGTACTTGTCGGGTTCCGAATCCTCATGCATGAGAAGCGGGCGCCTTAAACCCTGGAACACCACAAACTTTTCTTTTGTTTTAGAAATTTGTTCTTCATCCTTCCACAACACACCAATTGACATTTAACAAAAGCCAAACGATAACAATTAACTCTATGAATTAATGGTCGCATAAAAATAATTAGGTATCAACCTTTTTGGTCTTAAAATCATTCGTCTAGACTTGTCTATCTGAAGCTTGTTATAAGACAGATTGCTGACAAGATCAAATGAAGTCGCCTGGCTAATTACAAACAATTGCTTGGCTCTTTTCAAATCACTAACCGACATCCAAGGATACAAGTGTTTAAAACATAACTGTGACACCAGATAACCTTGAACGCGGCGAAACGCGGAACTAAATCCAAAAAGTATTGACGTTGACATTTCTTTGACGTTTCTCTATGACAAGTGGCGCCATTTTGAGAGGTCTAGTTAAAATGGTTACGTTATATGAATGTGTTGACGTTTAGAACATTTGTCATAGTTATGATGTGGCGGTTACGAAATCTGTAATTGTGATAAAAAATGTATGTTTGTTATGTGGACGGGGTTATGAGGTTATCGCTTTAAGAGTTCCAGCGATTGACGGAATGGTGGTTAGACACGATATGTATTTAAGAGTTCATAGTTTCTTGGGCAATTTTGTTTCCTATTCGGACTCAATTAAGGAAATGTTTTTATTGCTATCACAAGAGAGGATAGGCATTATCTATGTAGGCACTTATAAATTGGATGCTGTTTACATCATCATCACCGTATGGGGAGGATAATGATCTATCATCTATTTCTTCAGTCTTACAAGGCCCGGCACGTAGATTCCAAATACTCTGTCAATTTTTGAAAATCAAACGAAGTTTATATTTGAAATGTAAACGAATTTCGTATGAGATTCCAACATTATGAGGTCATACTGATGTAACGTCAAGCAGCATACAACTTTTTTTTGAAACATTTAAGAAGAAAAAATCTGAAATTGAAGTATACCGTCAATACAATTGACGAAAATATGATTAAAATTTAAAAATACCTTGGTTTTAAAAGTAAAATCAATTAATTTTTGACCTAGGAAACTACCCAGTTCATGATCAATCAAAATAACCCTCCTTTTCTTCTTGTTACAGACCAGTAATGTCCAACTAGCCCCGAATCCTTCCACAATGGCGAGCGCAGGCGCAGTCCTCCTGGAGGCCAGGCCTTTTAGGCCCTTCAAGTCCTCAGAGGAGTACCTGTATGCTATGAAAGAGGATTTGGCTGAGTGGCTGACAGTCCTCTACCCTGAACTGAGGATCAATGCTGATAACTTCCTTGATAGATTGGACACGGGCGTTGCATTGTGCAGGGTAAGTTTTTCTTTTGTTTTTTTTGTAATGAGACGTCGTTTTTCGTCGATTGTCAATCGCTATGTCGAATTTTTCGAGGTGTAGATGATGGAATTTTTCAAGTTATTTCTAGAAATTTCGTCTTTAGCTTTCTAGATAAGCAACGAGTACATAATGAGTAAACCCATGAACTTACAATAGTGCGTTTACATGAAAAAATGCTACTTAATGTATTGAACAGAGAGAAGATTTTTATCAACGTGGCCGACAGGTCACAATAATCCATCGCAAATTACGTTGACAGGAAGACAAACGCCATCTTAATGTCAAATATTAAGATAAAGTGGCGACAACATATTTGAAATAAATTACTTTTATCATTCAACTAGAGATATATTCGGAGCAAATCGTTTCTTTATCACGGGCTTATTACAAAGGAATTTGGCTGACAGCTATTTTTGTTAATTTAATGGATTATAAAATAAATTAACGTGGTACTAATTAAATTTATTTCTATTTCTCCCCTATATAGTAAAGTGACCACTGAATGTCTATAGTAATCGGTCAAAAGATGTCAAAGCTGTTTCGGGGATTGCTCGAATAATTACAAATCACACGGGGCTCTTATTTGTGGCATTATTCTATAGGATTGTAACTGGCGAATTATTAGATTTGTACTTACATTTGTTTCTTTTATTATTTGTTCTTTTATTGAAAAAAATATGACGCGGTGACCTGAAGTTTGAGGCAATTCTGGCGAGTATCAATGTGACTTTTTCCGAATTATATGTACTTTTTAAGTTAATGTCATATGGCTTCACCATATGACAAATAACTTAAAAAGTACATATGGTGAAGGAAAACGTCCTGATAATTTATTTAAGTTACTCAATCGCTAATACGCCATAAGCGACCATGGTGATAAACGCTCAAACCTTCTCCGTGTGTAAAGAAATCTTTGCTCAGTAGCTGACACTTATTACAGACGATGATCATGATTATTTAGAAACTCAACTTTTAATCAGATGTTACGGATTCAATAGTATAAACAGGAAGATAATAGAAATAATTCTTCCCTTTGCACTCATGGATCGTGTAGGACATCCTGTGGCATTATTACCATTGTGCTTATTAATAAACATGTCACGTACAGTAACCTCCAAGCTTCCAGAAGGAATAGGTCATGCATAACAGTTTTGAAATGTAATAATTAAATGGATTTGAGTTTAATAAGGATATTTTTTAAAAGTTACAGTGATTGCCATCTTTTTTAAAACCACGCACGTTCAGTTGGAACTGTGTTTTCTAATTTTATATCAATCGTGGAGAAAATGTCATAATAGGTGGAACATTCTTTCTAGTAGTGAATTTCATGGATTGACATAGACTAGCAATTTTTTTATGTCATAGTTCTAAATTGACCTATCTTACCCGATGGTAAGCAACCGGTGCCGTCCACGGACGCCATGCGTGGCCGTTATTTTGGGGATTAGGGGTCCGAGGATTTAGAAATTGAGAAGGAAACAGGGGACGGGGGAGGATTGGCCCTTCGGTATCCTCACTCACACGGCGAAACACAACATTGTGGTTGTTTCACGCCGGTTTTCTTTGAGGCCGTAGTATCATACCTGGTCGAGTTGACCCATTCGTGCCGGAGCTTGGTTCTCTCTCCCACACTTAATATAACCCTCTCAAATTTCTTTATAAGATTTTCAATTAGGTATACTCTTTTAACGTAAAGTTGAAAATTAAATAGAAACATTATAGAGTAGATTGATCTGCTGGCGTCTGTACTATACTGTTTTAGTAGAATAAATCCTGTACAACTGTAACTATTATTTAGTATATACATAATACATTTGCGTTCTCAACTTCCTGAAGTTTTATCAAACAAAAGAGGCCAATAATTTGTTATCTGCGATATAATTGAATACTTCAGATTATTTGCTGTAAACGTCGATATACTGTGAAGCAATTTATTATTTTATTATATTTGTTTCTACAAGTACAATATCTATCCTTAAAATGTTATAAAATAAAGTCCTCTGTTTTCTGTTCGCGGTCAACTCAAAAACGGTTAACGTTAACGGTTTTTGATGTAGTTTTCATTTATGCGAAAGATTTATGTGCAAAATTCGTGAAGAATTTTTCGGGATATCTTGGAGACGGGTTACCAAGATTCTCAAAAAAAAAAACCATAAATGACACGTCTATGTATATTAATTATTATATTTATTTTTAAAAACTTCCTAGTGACTTTGATGTAGTAAAAATATTATCTTATAAATAAACGACAAGATATCAATAAACAATTTAATTATTACGTCGCACCTACATTTCGACAAAATCCTTCAGTTTTCAATAATTACTATTAAGTTCAGAATTTCAACTCGAGCGCAGGTTCAACGACCGTTCTTTCTATACTTAAATTTAACAGAAAGGATAACAACTTATCCACCTCCAGTTCAAACTAGTTTGACAGATTGCTTCGCGGGCTTTTGATAAATTCTTTTTTTAAATATTCATTCCGCCATTTTCTTATTAATATCGAAGTTCTCATGAACGCCATACTGATGTGACTGATAACAACTGACAAATTGTGTGTTTTGATAAAGTAGGTGCGTTCTGTTTTCAAAAAAAAAAATGCAATTTGTCAATGTTATTTTTATAGTGTGATTTTTGTGCATTTCGTTTTTTTATGGTTCATAATTTTAATTATCGAATGAGGGACGAAGACAAAGAATCGTTTTAGGGTGATTTTTTAATAGTCAGATAAATGTTATCTGAGGAGTAAAATAGTTGCTGTCACTGTCTTATGCAAACATTCTGACGCGACAGCATCATAAGGTATTTCCCAGATAACTTTTATTTAACCATTGAAAAATCAAACCCTAAGATCATTATGAAATAAAATACATGTTTCTTTTTTTTGTCATTAATTCTTCAAAGAGGTGAATGTATGAATACTTAGGTACTATTGTGAATGTGTGTGTGAATAGCTCTAGATAGTGGAAATAAAATACGTTACATGAGATAAGCATAATTCTGAACTGAATACTACAAAGAATCTCAAAATATTATTACCTAATTTTTTGTTAACATTTTTCTTCATGTAAGCACCAAATCTTTGACGATCACTTACCTGCTTCCATGGGTGAATTTCAAACACTAATCTGTGTTTATTGAAAAAATAAACAAAATAAAATTCCCAATACATTTACCAATACTTAGATATAGAAGAGTAAACATTGGCTAACATAATATGTGGGTAAACAGTCTTATCATTTTGATTGATAAGATAATCTGACCGACTGACTGAAGTGGAGTGCTCGGTCAGTGTGTTTTGGTTCAACCTGAATTAGTTAATAACCTGACTCAGTCAAAAATCTCTGGATTTTTCTATTCACATTAAGATTAGTCATTCATCTGAAGGGAGGCGGGAAAGAGACTCTGGGAAAACTTACGGCGAAATAAGACACCGTGGTTTTTGCCCTTTAAATTTGGTGTGAGGCCGTGGTGTCATTCAGGCCGACCCGACCAAACATAGCCCAGTCCCACACATTTCATAATAACAAAAAAATATATATTTCTGCATATACTTTCGAAGTGATTATAACCTTTTGTTTTATTTTAAAACTATGAGTATAATACACAGTCGCTTTCTCTGTCCCTATGTGTGCTTAAATCTTTAAAATTTCGCCATGGATTTTGATGCGGTTTTATTTTAATAGAATGATTGAATAGAAACTTTTATATGAATAACGTCATCCAATAAATAATAGAAAGATTTAGTATCAGCATTGCATGCGAAGCAGGGACGGGTCACTAGTTAATACTAAAATACACTTACACAATAATTAAATTAAGAAATTGAAAACGTTTAGCAGCAATTACTAAACTTTAAGTTAATCTGACATATAGTTTTAACCGACATATCGTAATTTAAATCCTGATTGACGTTTATATCAATAATGACCGCCACCATTTTATTTGCAATTATTACTTAATGACGACTTTATTGCCATACCTATATGTAGGTATGAATGTATAAGGCCTTCAACGCACTTGTTCGGGTGTTTTAGTGTGGTTGGTGACCATGTTTTGCTTACCATCAGGTCTTCCCTATACTCGCTTGCTGACCTATATGCTATAAAACACCAGATTGGTTGCAAGGAATGCTGATCACGAGGTTTTTTGAATGTGTATTTAATTTCGAAATATGTTCGGGAATACTCAGTCAGACTGGGGCGTTTGTGCAAGGAGTATAGTAAGAAGCTTACCTCTATATGTATAAATAAGGCTCATAATCAAAAGTAATCTAAGGGTCACAAAATACTTGCATCTACCTCCTAAAGCGTTAAAAAGAATAGTTATTAATCATTATGTTTCGGTAATAATGTGACGAGATACTCGACTAGTTTCAAGCCATGCTAGAGGCCCATATTCATGAGCAGAATTCCGCGACACGCGACGCGGCGACGGTCGCGCTGCTGATGAGTAAGCCGAAAACATAATAATTAATTTAGAATGTCTCACGAAAGTTATAATAAAAAGGAAAAGTTATGTTGTTTTATTTTTGTGGTGTCCTGCAGGTTGCGGTTTCTAATGCACGAGAGTGCCGTTCGAAACCTGGCAAGTACTACGTCGATGTGTCTAAGTTATACCTACTGTTGTTATACCTACCTGTGTCTAAGTAAATATATTACTTACTTAAAATAATCATCTAGTCACCACTCACAAACGGTGAAGAAAACCTTTTTGTAAGTGGGGCATTCATCACATGACTTCTATCACCCAGGGAGTGTCAGACTCTTTCAGGCTGATGCTATCACTGTCTTCTATTTTTTGTCGATAAATTTTAAAAAGTAGGTAGGCCCAAATATTAATGTGAGAACTAAATCGTGATTGTACTAGGTACCTAATGAACGAAAATAATAACCAATTGTCAAAACAGTCTTTGTATAAATTAATTAATTGATTTAATCAGCACAGTTACAATGCAAGTCTTTACAATTAAATTA